TCCCTATGTATTTAAAAAAGGACTTCTTGTTGTCCTTAATCCGGGAAGCCAGCCCCTGTTCCATCTCTGCCTTGGCCTTCCTAACCATCCCCCTACATCCCCGAGCAACTGCAGAATAGTCCTCCTTAGTGATGACCCCTCCTTTCCATTGGGAGTAAGCCTCCTTTTTGGCAAGGAGACATTCCCGGATGTTTTTAGTGAGCCACGGAGGCTTATATGCTCTCCTGCCCCCTTTGACCCTCCTGGGGATTACCTTCCTCTGGTACTAATGTACTGATGTAATAATGACCATACCCGTAAGTAACATACAGTCCATATTCATACAAGTATATCATGAAATCTGTGCACCTAGATCATAGTAATCAAGCTAAAGCCCGTTAAGAATTATATTTTTCTTCAAAATGGATAGAAATATATATTTTTTGTAAATTAAAGCAGTTTTAGTTCTCTTTTCAAGGTCAAACTCAAGCTGGTCCCTTAAGCCTGGGAAAATGGCAATTTTTGTCAAGGGAGTATTTCAGTCCATTTCTCATTAGTGTATCAGTTTTGGACAAAAAGAAAACACCATATTTTGGGGGAAAAAACAAAATACCATAGCTACTATAAAGTGGTAAAGGGTTAACATTTTAATAGGGAAAACAAGGCGTAAGAAAGGACCTGCAAATCTTCATGTAAACAAACTTATTTACAATAAACCAAAATTATGAATCTTTGTTTAAGTGCTTCCCACCAAAACCTATATCAAACCAAATAAATAAATCCAACACTGAATACTCAGTCAGATGATAATAAAGTACCAATACCTTTTCATTGAAGTGAATTTCTACAAATTTTCCAAAACGACTGCTATTGTTGTTGCGAACAGTCTTTGCATTCCCAAAAGCTTCTAAGAGTGGGTTAGCTGTTAAAAGATGGGTTTGAATTTTAAATTGAAATGTCATTCACAAATTATTCAAAACAAGTTAAAATAGTATTAAAATAACTATTTATTCAGTGCATGGACAAAAAATAGCTCTTGGGTAAAACATGAAATACTTTATCATGGAGATGGCTTCTCTGTATGAACTGCCTTTGGCACAATTTTGCCCCATTTTAAACACAGAAGCTAAACAGTGGAAATGCTACTGTAAGTCAGCTTCTCGTCATCATAGGGTAAAAGAACGGATGTGGACAGAGCAGCTGATGAGCTGCAATCCCCTTTTACTGCACAGTAAATTGTATCACTGCATTCAGCATACTTTAGAATAAGATTTGAATTTTTTTTTAAAGGTTACCCTTTAAAAACAGAATCAATAACATCTTTTCTTTTTTTTTTCCAAATGATAATATATTGGGGAAACATCTCCTGGTTAAAAAATTAAGCATTCTATACCAGGTGCAAAGTTCTTGAGTACATACTTTGAAAAACTCAGTGGCCATCCCTGAAAGCATTTCAGCTGCTATTTTCCTGAAGTAAACAATATATTCAATATGAGTCAATTTGAACACCAAGCAGACTGCCCCCAAAACTTATTTTCCCTACTTTCCCCTCTCACACATAGTGGTAAATATATATATAGCGCTAAACACCATGCACAAATGACATTAGTAAATCAACAACAGAAACCAAGAGAAACATTTTAAGAGACAAAATGCATCACTGACTTGAAAAAAAGACTTAAAAAGGTAGCTTAAAAAAGACCATTAACTGCTAAATAAGCAAGTAGTAATATTCTGCATTAGCAGTAGCTTTAAAATGATCTTTCAGGACATCCTCATTACAGAGTGCATTACAAAAATCCAGTGCACAGATAAACATGCACAACTTGAGCCATTTAAAAATGTTTACTAGCTGTGCAGCACAAAGCTTCTGAAAGACCTCATTTTGCCAGCTAGGAAAAAGCAGGAGTGGAAGGCATAGCAACTGTTTCTCTCTTGTTTTGTCTATTGTGAGCTGTAGCTATGAACAAGCCAATAGCTTAAAAATACCTTCTGAAAAGTAAGAATTCAGTAGAATGGTCCCCCCTATTAAAATTCCTATTGACAATAATCTACCAGTCTGCTGCCATGAGGATGAGATTGCTGATATGAAACTTAAAACAGTTACATAAAATTAAGAACAACAAAGCAGCAATCTTTACTTGGCATTTTTTTCTTTCTGCCCTTTAGTACAACCATCTCAATGCTAACCTTCTATACTGCTGCTTTTGTTTGGTTCTGCTGTAAAAAAAAAAAACAAAAAACAAAAAACAAAAAAAAAACACCTTTCAAATTTATGATGTTTGAAAACCTAGTCTCTTCAAAGTTGTTATATTAATATTTCTTCAGTAAATATTAAGAATTAAAAATATCCTGGGTAATATTTCCAGTGTTCCAAACATAGATTATGGGATAAATAAGCAGCAAGCGGTTCTCCAACAATAGAGCTTTTGTGAGCATGCTTGTTAAGAATGTGTTTAAAAATTGTTAAAAACTGCTTCAAACATGCAACAGATGATGGTATTCTAGAAAAAAAAAACAAATTTCAAAAGTTTTCTTCAAAAATACCTACAGGCACCAATGAATGTTATGGAATGCAGCTTCAAGCAGCATGGGACCTATCAGTCATTTTCTGAGATCCCACAGTACATACATGGATTTGGATGCATGTCTATTCAGTTGCAATTAAACAGTATCACGCTTGTTTTTATCATACCTATGGGGAAAAAAACAGTAAAAACCTGCCACCTCTCTGTAAGCAGTTTCAAATGGCTGGAAGTTTAAATTAGACCAAATCAAACTAGAAGTGAGGTGTAAATGAACCACCACAGAAGCTTGGGGGGAGTCTCAATTACTCAGATTCCCCCCCCCCACACACACACACACACACAATTCAAGACTAATTTTTCTAAAAGTTAAATTCTAGCTCAAATAGGAATTGTACGTGCATTCTGTGGGTCATAACAGATTATAATAATCGTGTCATTTGGCCTTATCTATGAATATGACATAAATGTAAACCTAGTAATGAAATAGAAGTAACATTCAGAAGAGTTGCTTTACAACACAGGTGAATTAACATGATCCACAAAGGAATAGGAATGTTTTATTCTCAACAGACAGCTTGTCCTTCATCGGACTTTTTAGTAAAAGCACACTCTATGGGCTCCTATACATGTGCAGGGAGCCTGCTCCAATGCTCTGTAATTCCAGCACATTGAAGCAAACTCTATTAATTGTGTCTGCTGGAGTGTGGAAATTAACATTCTCCAGCAGCCTCCAGTATCACATGCGTTGGTGTCCCTGTGCTGAAAAATGGTGTTGGGGCACTTTAAACTAAAGCTCCTTCAATGAGCTTTAGTTCAAAGCACCCCACCGCCATTTTCAACACCGAGATACCGTGTCACTCCGTGACACTCCAACACGTGACACTCTGGGCACTTTTAATTAGCATGGCTCTCGGAGCTATGCTAATTAAAGCGCCCCCCTTGCCTCCCAGAGCACATATATAAATGCCCACTGTGCTTCCCAGTAAAAAGCAGTGTTATCAATGACTGTACAGTAACTGTCCTTACACAATTCATATAAAAGGGAACATTCTAAAGAAGACAGTAGCAAAACCTAGAAACAGCTTTGCAAAAATTAGATGAGAACAGAGCAGTCTGTTGATCAATTATGTCCCAAAAGATCGAATGACACTTCTATTTTTGTCACTGCTGTATAGCATTTAAATAGGTTGCAGTTCATTTGGTGGAATCCTTAGTTTGGTTTAAAAAATTACAATACCTTCTACAATTCTGTCATCAATATCTTGACCAGTACCATAGGATTCAGTCAAATACCTGTGAAGAAAAATGAGAAGCCAAGGTCCATATTTTCCATGTTAAGTGTCATGCTGCCTTGGTCTGACTGAGGAAAGCGCACATGTATACGTGTGCTTGTGTATCAGGCTGGCCCTTTACAGTTCATTCTTTGTATGCACAATATATATAAAAACAATTTGCCTGCAGTTTTCTTACAGGAAAATAAGTATTTTGTGCTGGCTTCAAATGTATTTTTCCTGTATTTCAGTATTTTAAAAATAATATTCAGATTTGTGAGTGTTCAGAAAGTGAATATAAACAAACAAACTTGTGATTTATGTAATAACATATAGTGTATCCAACACAAAATTACAGCACAGAATAAACCTTCTGGAAGTTTAAGTCACTCTTAGCAGTTAATTTTAGTTTTAAAAATAGACCCTTGAAAAATTTAGCATCCAATGTCAGTTCTTATTTGTCCTTTTTTTTTTGTAAATACTTTTAAAACAGCCCACTGAGATTCTGTATGCATAGGCTAAATTTGAAGGTTTTCTTTTGTATTTAAAAGGATACACAATTTTCTGCTATTACTGTTCATAAAGTTTGTTTCCTTTTCACCAGAGGCTGAAAACCTTCACACTGTTTCTGAAAATTCCCCAAATCATCCCTCAAAATGGCTGCCTTCTCCTACTGTTTTCAGATGTACCAAGGCCTGTGGCTGTACTTAGATAAGATGCCTGCTTTCAAAATTCCTACCACCTCTTTATGTTCTCAGAAAGGAGTGGGTGTCAACCTACACTGTCAAGAAACAACAAATACTGTGAAGATAAGTGACTACAAGCAGTGGTCATCTTTTTGGAGATGCAAATGGCAGGAGAAATGGGGTATATAGAAACAATGGAGTACAGGATACAGGAGAAAAGGGAAATTTGTGATATGTGCAAAGGGAAGAGGAGAGAAAGGAGGTAAAAAAAATTAACAAGTTAACTGTCTGCATTACACTGCTCTGTCAAAGCAAATCAGCTACAAGTGTCATCTTAACTGAGCAGTATTCTCTAGCTGCGATATTCCAGTGTCATTAAGCAAAGCATAGCAGCAAATGTAGCCATTAAGACAAGAAGTGATTTAAGGTTGCTTCTAGGTATCTTTAAACCAATATTGAGCAATACCAGTTGTTAGTACTCTTACAGCTTCTTGTTTGGTTTTAATGCTTGCACCATTTTTCATTAAAAAAAAAAAAACAACCCAGATACACACAGGTAATTTGAGCTGAACCACATTATAGGAAAACCATATTTATGTCAGAATCCAGAGTTAGAAACCTAAAAAATTCAGTTAGTATTAAGCTTAAAGAAAGGCAAGCATGGAAAGCTATAAAAATGCAGTTATGACAAATAAGCTACCACGATTCTGCCTTGTGGCAATATTTCTGAGAACCTGATCCTCATAGGTTCTGGAATCAGAAATACTAAAATGCCAGTATCATAATCATATGATTATTCCTGAATTGCAGTTTAAAAGTTAATGCTTGGGTGTCCAGTCCTTTTCATGCTGTAGTATAGTTAAGAGTGTTATAGCAGTGATTGTCCAGGAAACATCCAAAAAGCAAGGTATTGGGTTTGGTTTTTTGTGTTTTGGGAGTTTTTTGAGGTGTGATATCTTTTATTGGACCAATGCTACAGTTGAGATGTCAGACAAACTTCTGGGCACATGCTGCCCATCAGGTCTGGGAAAGAAGCAAGTTTGTAATGCACAGGTAATTTCTTTGCACTTTGGATTGGTCCTATTCTTTTATGTAATCAGGTTATCTATTCAATTAAACTTTATTTGTTTTAATGTTATTTCTGTAAACTCTCTACACTTCTAGTTTACAACCCTCCTCCTCTCTCTTAAATGCCTGTTTTCTTTTACTTATGGAATTCAACACCAGCCATTGTTTTATTTAATATTTAGCTTGTATTGTACTTGCTTCTCTCTCACACCTGAAGAAGGGAAGCTGTGCCTGAAAACTTGTCTAACAATTGTTTTTCCAATGAAAGGTATCACTAAAACCAACCTCATAGTTTCATAGTTTCTAGGGTCAGAAGGGACCTGAATAGATCATCTAGTCTGACCCCTTTTCTGCCATGGCAGGAAAGATTACTGGGGTCAAATGACTCCAGCAAGGTGTACATCTAGCCTCCTCTTAAAGACCCCCAGGGTAGGAGCCAGCACCACTTCACTTGGAAGTTGGTTCCAGATCCTAGCCACCCTGACAGTGAAGTAGCGCCTCCTGATATCTAGCCTAAATCTACCCTCTGCCACCTTGTGACCGTTATTCCTGGTCACTCCTGGCGGTGCTCAGGGGAACAGGGACTTCCCCAGTGCCTACTGGTCCCCCTTGACTAGTTTGTAACAGGCCACTAGATCCCCCCTCAGCCTTCTCTTGCGGAGGCTGAATAGGTTCAGGTCCTGTAGCCTCTCCTCATAGGGCCTGCCCTGCTGCCCCCTGATCACCTCCCACCCCCCACAAAAACCCCTTGCTTCTGTTTCTCACATCTATCCTTTTTACATCTTGCATTTCTTTAAAAGTTAACCTTAACTCTGACATTTTTAAATGCATCTTTTCTTTGGGAAATGTAACCAGTTTTGCTGAAACATACCATAAACCATTATGAAGTTTAATTATAATTGAAACTATCCGTATATTCATGAAAAACACTTACTATTAAATAATTTTGGGTTCCCTAAGTACTAACCTTAGTACAAATTTAGTGTTTTCAGTCTTTCCAGCTCCTGATTCTCCAGAAACTATGATGGATTGACTCATCTTGAGTACTTTCATGTCCCGAAAAGCTTTATCAGCTAAGATAAAAAAACATGTTAGTGAAGGCAAACATATTTAAGTTACTTTCCTGCATACATTTTTAAATGTTATGCATACAGCTCTTAATTTAATCCATTCAAAAATAGGAACTAAACATTTCACACACACACACACACACACACACATACATATGCACACATATATAAAACACAAGTCTGCGTTACATTCTATGAAAGTCCATTTTTGCAATTTCACATTTACAGACCAACATGTGATTTTTGATCTTCAAAGATGAAAAGAAAAAAAAAAAAACCAACTCAACTATATCCATTGGGAACAAATGCAGGACTATCTGAATTCTGGAATTGAGCTTATTTATAAGTAGCCATGGATTTTACAGCTAGGAAGTGTTTTATTTTTAAAATACTCTGTTTCACATTATTAAAAATGTATTACTAGACTGGATGCTGTCTGGCTTTCAGACTGTATCTCAATGGTGCATAGGTCTAGGGCAGTCTCTAATCCTCCATACTTTTGCCTAGGCATATATGCTAAAAGTCTGTGTGATCTATACTCTTTGTTCTCAGCTAGATGCCTTGGCTAGGTACAGACAAGCAAAAAGCTTGAGGCAGAATCAATTTTAATTGCATGGCTTTTTGTAAGTAGTGTAGTTTAGATCAGTAGCAAACAGAACACACATTCGCCTTTTTGTGGGGCGGGGTACAAATCTTAGACCAAGTTCCACCTTTAAGCCAGTTTGTGCGCACCAAACTTCTGTTCTGTTACCAGTATAGACTAGTTTTGTGTGCTGAACTTCTGTTATTGGTAAAGACTGGTTTCTTATCGCTTACAATGGTAAAAGTGTAATGTCTATACCTGGCCCTTATGTGTAATACCATGATCTAGAGGATCAACACTTGCCTACATACTAGACATGAGTACTTTGAATCATTTCTAGGTGATTTAATTGATATGCTTTCAAATCATCCTATTTTGTTGTCAAGATCCTAAAAAGGAGCTCAAAGGAACCAGTTAAAATGTTGTTTTGTCAAAAACAAGAAGGATTCAGTTTTCATTCTCCATGGAAGAAAGTTAGCAGCAAATCACACTCTGATTTAGGTGTAGCTCAGAGCTGTTTTTGAAAAGATTTTACTTCTCTAGATCAGGGGTAGGCAACATTTTATGGCTGGAGTGCCAAAAAAACCACAATATCTATCTTGGAAGGTGCCAGAGTGCTGGCATGCTGGAGCCCAGAACAGCTGTTTGCAGCCGGCCTATGGAGCCAGGTCTGCTTGCAGGAGGGCTTGCATCCTCCCAGCTGCCTGCTCGGAGCAGCCTGGGCTCCGTGGCTGGCAGTGGTGTGCCAAGCAAAATGGCCTTGCATACTATGCTCGGCACGTGTGCCGGGGGTTTCTGACCCCTGCTCTAGCTACAACTCTAGAATATTACTGTTACAATAAAACATAACATTTTAAAAATCATACTTGCAAAATTGCTACATCAAATTCACTTTTTTTCCTTCAAGTCATCTAAATGCATTTTATTGCCTAAAAGTCAAAGCAAAATAATTTATACTGGCAATCTGCTGAAACACAAAGGAAATGGACTCAAATACTTCACTAACAAGAACAAGTTATTTCAGAGAACTGATCATATCATAAAAATGTTTTAATAATAGCACTCTTCATTTGTCCTTCTAGTACATTTCTCTCTCTTTTGTATGAAGCACTGGTTGCATCACAGGTTAAACTGTTTATTTTACAGTCCATTTTTTTTTTTTAATAGAATGCAAATATAAACTTATTTCAAGCAGCTATTGTCCATTTTTTCATGGGCACTAGAGGTGTGATGTCATTTTAGTACTGAATTATTTTACTTTAAAAACTGTAGTTAAGTAAAACAGTCGGTGTTACAAATGGTGTTTAACATACAGCTGCAAGACAAAATAAACAACGAATCTATATTTTAGGAGACAAAAATCTGACAGAATACATACCAATTGCATATACATGTGGGGGTAATGTCCCTAGTGATCTACCCTGGTACTTTTTAATGGTCTCTGAAGAATAAAGTTTAGGTATGTCGAAGTATGGATTCACTGCAATTAGAATGTTTGCTACGTAGGTCTGTGGAAAAGAAACCATAATAAAGCCTTAGTAGGCGTTCAACAAACTGGTTAACAGCAATTTTTCAATTGCTATTAAAACAGTGCAAAACCATTTCAAATCTAGAATAGAACCATGCCTAGCAACAAATAAATACTGACAAGCAATACTAGAGAGAAGAGCAATCCCATTTAAAATTACATCAACTAATGCTGATAGTGACACCACGAAAGTATTGACCTCTTGTACCTCAGTATACCATCTTTAAATGCCCTGTTAGAAAAACATTGTACAGGAAACAAAACTTCCATGACATTTTCCAAAGAAAATTATAAATTAGTATAAATTCAGTTTCATAGAACTTGTTATGGGAGATAGAATGGTGTCTAAAGCTGTGTATACACATTTTAATGATCTAGGAGAACTGTCCCAGGTTTGTTTTTCTTGGTAGAAAACCTTACAAGGAGACCTCTGGCCATTCAAACGCTCAGCCCATGAAGAGCAGAGCTTGCAGTACTGACTAAGCAGCCAAGGAGCCCCTGTGTACACATCTCTGTGTGCTCTAAAGGCTCCTTCAGTCTGTCTATTGACAGAGGGTAGCAGTGCAGAGGGCAATTCTGGCTGCTAAGAGTCAGACTGAATCTCCCTGCAATACAACGTGGGATTATGGAGACATTATCAGCTCCCTGTCTGGGTGGAGCAGTAGAGTCCAGACTAAATGACTCTTTCTCCCTGGGGGCGGGAGAAGGCAAAGCACCCTGATATGGCAGTGGATTGTGCTGTGGCCTCTCCAGAAAGGAACACATACAGATATTTACTCTCCCAGGAACAATTAAACTGTGATTGTTCCCAGGTTATTTTTCTCCCGGAACAGTAATTTTTGCTATATGAGGGAAAAAAAAATACTGAATATCTGGACACTCCTGGCTTCCTTGTACAGACTCCCAGCAGATTTCTACTGGCTGCTAACAGGATATACAGCTGCTACAAAACTACATTGACACTGGATTACCAGCATGCACCTCACTGAATTAGGAAGTATGGGCTAGACCATCACGATTTTTTTTTTTACTTTTGGTGAATTGTGCTGAAAAATGCAGTTTCAGGTCACCAAGAAGGTATTGGAAAAACCCAAGAATAAAACTGAATTTTGCCCATGAACACAGTGTATGTCTTCTATAGAAGGCAGGACAGGGTAGCATCTTAAGAGTAATTGGTTTGGGCACGCATAAGTTTGCATGGTAAACAGCCTATTTTGTCAGATGTCACCTATGAAAGCTCATGCCTTTCTGAAGCACCTAGTCTCTAAGATGTTACCTTGCCCTGTCCTGCCTTCTGCCTGACTTCAGACCAACATGACTAACTGCCTGTGTTCAACATTAACAGAGTTCACACAAAGGTTGTTACAGACACCTTTGTGCTCGTTATTTTCACATAAAAAGGTATGCAATGCATAGAGCTCTCTAAGAGGTATCAGTAACTAGACAAATTAAAACAAAGTCTGAGAAAAGCAAGCAAACACTCTTAGGTTTTTTTTCAAACTTTAATAAAGTTACAAGGGAAAGCTACATAGGACGTAACCTGAACTAAGTTTTATACAATACTGACACTGGAAAGCACAGTGGTAGCATTTATTTAAAAAATATAGAAAGGCTTCTTCAGTTGAAATACTGTCTATCTTGTCAACTCTAAACAAATCAACAACAAAAAAACCCCAAAACCAAAAAACCCAAAACCAACAAACAAACAACAAACAAAAAAAGGTTTTTGTTTTATTTTTTTCCTACAGTTAAATTGATTCCACCCTATTGTTCCTAAAGATGACTGGCTTTTATAGTCTTAAAAGGGAAAAGAATTTATAGCTACATAAAGGAGCAACTGAAAAAGGAATTCATGCAATTTTAGATTTTAATGACAATATTATTTAAACCTACCATTTCAATAATGCTTTTTAGAAAGATGAAGAAAATCATATATACAGTTGTCTGCTAGCAGCCAGCATTTTTTAAGCATCTCTTCTATTTTACAGCTGTCATTGCCAGGGCAGATGGCAAGGACTAAATCTAATTTAGTCAGAATTCATTAAGTACAATTAGGCAATTTGATAGCAATATAAAAGATTAAGATGGACATTTGAGCTAGGAGGTGTCAAAGGAGGCACCTGTTTGCTTCGTACAAAAATAATGAAGAAAAGGAGCCATCTTTGGTAACAGCAGACCTATTTGCAAAGTAAATTACCTGCAGGAATAGAGTTTTTGCTACAATGCAATACAACTGGTGTCCTGAATTCAACAGCAACACAGAAAAAAAATCTAACATTTAGCTACATTACCTACTTGGTGCAAACCAGTTAGTAAATCTGGATCAAGTGGCTCATAAGCCTTTTCTCCGGAAAAACCCTACCACTCCTAGATGCTTAAATATTTATTTTCTTTGATAAACTATGCAAAAAATAGTATTATTACATAAAAACATATCATTCTCTTTCAACCATTTAAATTAAAATATTATACAAACTTACGTAAATTCTGTCTTTACTGTAGCGAACTTTGATATTATGAAGGAGTGTGGCTTCATTTAAATACATAAGCGAACCTGCAATTAAAAACCCATAAACAATTATTTTTGACAAATGAACTCATAAAACCAAAATATAATATTAAGAAAAATGCTTCTTCCTCTCCTTTTTATGACCTATAAGCAGCTTATTTTTCTGAGAGAAAAATATTTGTCTGAAAAAAAATTTAGCCTACTATTCACCATGTTCTTAAAATAAGGAAAAAAGATAACTATTATAATATAGAAGTATCAATCCCCGACCTCTGACTCACTGAAAGATAGCAGAAGACAGCAGAGCTGCACCTTATACACTAACTAAATCAGAGATGTTCATCTTAAGCTTTCATAAGCGAGAGCGTACTTCATTAGATGGGGTGGAAGGACTGCAGCAAGCAGTCTTACATAGAAAACATCAGTTAGAATACACATAGTACAAAGGTGGGAGGAAAAAGGAGAGGGTATTGCCAAAAGAGGCAAGATGGGTATTGGGGGTTGGGAGGAAATCAGTCAACCAATTTTCAGTTTCTCCTAAAAATGTCTTCAATATACACTTCCATTTTTCCCCATGCTGCCCCATAAACATGAGAACAAATATCTACTCCAAATTCAGAGACGTAATTTATCCACCTTCAAATTCATCCTTGAAATCTGTGCCATGATGTGTAGGGAAAACAACAGCCAACAACTGCATTTATAGCATACAAAAGTAGCAATTATAATGGTTATAACTTGATTTAAATCAAAATAGATTTATATGGGGACAGAAAAGGGCATCTCTAGATTCCCGCTGTCAAATTTCAAATCCCTGCTCTAAACTTTGTAGATGTTGGAACCTCAGAACAAACAGATAAGGGGGAAAAAAGAAAAGCTACCTATTTTCTTAAAAAAAGAAAAGCTACCTTATCCTTGGGGGGAAAAAATCTGAACCAGTTTTACTCAGGAAATGAAGAAAAAAGTCCAGTTGAGGTAGACAGTAAACAGAGAGAGAACTCAAATGGTTCAAGCTTGACAAAGCTGTTTCTGACCAGCCCTGAAGGAGTTGTTAACCAATTTCATCTGTAATAACAACATTGCCCTACAGCTATTCTTGATGTTTCTTGTTCTTGGGCTTTAACCTATAAACTTCCTAAATGTTCCTTCACTTTGTTAGAGATTTAATTACACAGCAAACATATCCAGTCTTACATTACAATCAACACATCAGACTGGTAACCCTTAAAGAATTAGAAGCACTAAAGACCACTATAGCTTGTTTTCTTTGTGCAGTTGGCGGTGCTTTGTATATAGAGTGTCACAGTTTCCTCAGCAATTTTGTACACTGTACACGGACTGTACTCATGTTCACATGCTTCATCACACCAGGCAAGGTAGGGGTGTGCAAAGCAGGCCCTATTTGAATCTGATTTGGCCCGAATTGGGGACAGTGATTCAATTAGGCCGAATCTGAATCTTAAGATTCGATGCTGATTCGGAGAATCAGCGATTCAGACATAGACACAGTTTTAAATGTTTTTTTCTACATACTTTGAGGTACCAATGCAGCTCACGAACACTGCAATGCTGGGGCAAATGGAGCATCCCACAGGAGCATGAGGGGCCCCCCACATGCTCGGTGGTGAACCTGGAAATGGACCAGAACTACTTCTGGTCCGCTGGGGAGTGTGCTGAGGAGGCACCCCGTGCCCCCCATCTCTGCAATTGGCCATGGAGTGACCCCAGGTGCCCCCACCAGACCCAGAAGACACCAGTCACCAAGCAAGGGGGAGCCAAAACGCCCCCCCCCCCGCATGCTCTCTGGTGGACCTGGAAGTGCTTCTGGTCCACTTCCAGATATGCTGCCGAGCATGCTGGGGAGCCCCCTAGGCTTCTGTGAGACACTCCATGTGCCAAATCGACCTGGAGGGTTCCGACTCGATTCAAAGAGATTAAAGAGTCCTTCTGATTCAATTCAGATTCGGAGATTTGGCCACCAAATCAGGCTGAATCTCCGCTGAATCGAATCAGGGACCAAAGCTTCACACAGCCCTAATGCAAGGTTATACTTGACACATTTACAATGGCAAAAAAGTTTCTACATTTGGGACAAAGTCTGCTCTTTATCAAGGATTCTTGTGTTTAAAAGTCCATTTCCTTCCTTAACTTACGTCCATTTTGAAGAAAGTTGGAAGAAAAATAACCTGGGAACAACCAGGGTTAAATCATTCCCTGGATAGTTTCTCTCAAGAGAATATCTTCACACTTCCCCTGGCTTACCTCTTTCTAGGGACCAGAAGGAGTGAAGCTGGGAAAAGGTTCCTTTGCCTTCCCGAGACTGGGGTCACTACAGATGTGAGGGAAGAAGAGGAGAAGCCCAAGGTGCTCCCCTTCTGCTTCTCACACCAGAGTTCCCAGTGTAAGAACTAGGCAAGGGCTTTGCCACGCTGCTACCCTGCTTAGGTAACTGAAAATCTCACCCTCTATGCATTTTATGCTAGGAACAATATAATTTAGCATATGACTGTCACTAAAAATAAAAGGCAGTGTCAATTTTCAGCTCCATTTTGCAAGGTCCTCAAAAATGAATGTACAAGATATCTCTTCAATCGATCTTCGATGAATGAGGAACTCGGCAGATAGATATGTTTGGGTGAAGCAACAACAAAAAGCGAATTTGTTCTTGGCACTGATAACAGTTTCTTCTGTTTGTTTGTTTTTAAAAGGAGTAAGATATGGACATAAAGACCATCCTTAAGATTTAGGTACATACCATCCCTCATTCCATTTATGTTCCAAACTTGAATACCGCTTAACTACGTTTCACTTTTTCATTACACAACAAAAGTCCTGTACTGTGTGCAGTATATTGCAAAGTCCATGAACCTCAAGGCTAGGGACAGACATTACATATAAACTGGTGTAAGTGATCAGAAACTGGTTTAAACCTGTAACAGAACAAACATTCAGTGCACATAAACCAGTTTCAAAAGGGCTGAAACCAGTTTGAGATAAACCTGATTGAACGTAGTATCAGACCTAACTGATTTGGCTCAAACTAGTTTATGCAATGTCTGTCCCAAACCCCTTCCTGGTTTAAATTAAACCAGAGTCCCCCAGCATCCCAGCATGCTCTCTGGAATGGGTTCTCTGCTCTAGCCCAGCCAAGCTGGTCCCACTCCTCTGCTCCCCAGCCCAAGCAAGGACAGGCAGGGGCAGGGGTCTGGCCAGGGAGGGGTTTAATTGTCCCCCTCTATCCCACCATGGCCCATGAGGCACAGGGGAGCAGGGTGGAGAGTTAGTCTCCCCTCCAGCCCCACTGACAACCGGGTCATAGATTCATAGATTAAGGGTCAGAAGGGACCTAGTAGATCTTCTAGCCCGACCCCCCGCCAGGGCGGGAGAACAACAAAAAAACCCCAAAAAGAGAAACGGGACTCAAATGAGTCCAGCCAGGTAGGCATCCAGCCTCTTCTTAAAGACCCCCAGGGTAGGGGCCAGCACCACTTCCCTTGGAAGTTGGTTCCAGCTCCTAGCCGCCCTAACTGTGAAGTAGTTCTTGCGGATGTCCAATCTATACCTCCTCTCCATCAACTTGTGCCCATTACTCCTTGTTATGCCAGCGGGCGCTAGGGGAAACAGCGTCTCCCCCAAACCCTTCTGGTCCCCCCTAGTGAGTTTATAGACGGTCACCAGGTCCCCCCTCAGCCTTCTCTTGTGGAGGCTGAATAGGTTCAGGTCCCGCAGTCTCTCACTGTAGGGTCTGCCCTGTTGTCCCCGGATCATGCGGGTGGCCCTCCTCTGGACCCTCTCCATATTGTCCACATCCCTCTTGAAATGGGGCGCACAGAACTGGACACAATACTCCAGCTGTGGCCTGACCAGCGTCGCGTAGAGGGGGAGGATCACCTCCTTGGCTCTACTCGAGATGCACCTGTGGATGCATGACAAGGTCCGGTTAGCCCTGCCAACCACGACCTCGCATTGTCGGCCCATGTTCATCTTAGAGTCAATAATGACTCCAAGTGGGTCTGCCCACCATCACCACTACACTCGCTCCCTGCTGTGGAATAGGACCCCTGTTGTCCCCTCCACCGGACACTGGAAGGAGGAGAAATAACCCTGTCCTTGCCTCCCCCCATGGACCCTGTTTGGCCACGCCCCCACCTGGCCACTGCACCAGAAGGGAGTAGGGCTCTTTTTGGGGGCTGCAGCCCCTGTCGTAATGTCGGGGAATGTGAGCCCCTTACCAATGGGGGCCACACTGCTGGGCTGGCAGAACTGCAGCAAACTGCAGGCAGCACCATTGGCATCCAGAAGGCCAGAGCCCTGCAAGCCCCCCCCAGTGTTGCCATGCTCTGCAGCTCTGCTGGCCCGGCAGCGCAGCCCCCACCGGAAAGAGGCTCATACTTGGGGAAACAGGAACTGGGGTTGCTGCCCCAGTCAGTTGCTCCTCCCTCACCGCTCCAGCAGTTGGCGGAGATGGGGGTGGGGCCAGACACCACCTCCAGGGGCCTTGTGGGGGGGGGGGGGGGGCAGAGAACCAGTTTACTCTCCACTCTGCCCCTGGGACACTGCAGCTGGGTCTGCCCAACCCGGCCACAGTTGCCGCTTCATCCGCGCTCAGGGCAGTGTCTGGCAAGATAAGCTCCTGCCTACCGGGAGGGCCGGGCCCTGAGTGCAGACCAAGTTTTCCTGCTGTTCAGGTCTGCAGCTTCTGCTCAGTCTGAGCTCAGGACCAGCCCCTACCCAACAGGAGGGGGCTTATTCTGCCAGAAGTTGCCCCGAGTGCAGACTGAGGCAGCTGCTGCCAGGCAGGCCCAGCTGCAGTGCTCCAGGGGCAAAGAAGCGAGTAACGCCACTCCTGCCCTCCTC